TGTACTCTGTTCGATTCTCAGCCCGTCAATTTGAGTGCAACAAACTTTTCCCAACGCAAATAAACTGTAACGGGAGTCCGTTCCCCGACGAACACTACTTGTAAATATGTGCATTATTCATAGTGCTCGGAATCCTTTTTGTCTGATGAACTCAAAAGGCATAAAATGTGGATAAGATCCGAGGAGTTCGTTGGTTCTGATAGCACATTGTTCTGATAAGACATTGCTTATGTACATTAACTTGCTCACATATTTAAATAATTAATTAAGGCAAAACAAGAACAGAATTGATTTAAGAATTAAAAATAGAAGTAAATCAGCTGATGTCGGTTCCTTCTAGAATTGAACGACGAGCACACAGAACGGTAGTAGAACAACTGACAGAGAATGGAGTAACGTTGCAGCAGCGTTACAGTAATCAGCTGTGTTGCAGTAGCATTGTTGATTAATTTGAATGTATGCATCCAACGGTTCTGAGCGATTCGGTTGACTGCATCCGACTGCGGTAGTTTCGTTATCGTTTCTCATATCAACACTGTTCAGTTGTTCGACAGCATCCGATGAACATCCTCAAAACGTTTCAATAAAAGAGAGCCGAAACCATTGATAATGAAACATTTTTACCCGATCATCCCACCCTACCCCGTCCTTCTCCGCTCATCCCCTGCCCCTTCCACGTTTCAGACTTTTCTTGTAGCGATAGCCTCTCCATCCAGCCCTCTTCCAAAACGTTTGTATCAAACAGAGAGTCGTATCTCATGAGAATCTTACTATGGTCGTGCTAGGGTCTCCGTATGCCAATGACATTGTTTTGTTCTTGCATTTTCGAAGGCTTTTAAAGGCCAAAAAAGTAGCGTTCAAGGGATTCAAGAAAAGCCTGCTACAAGGTCATAATCAATAGTGTTCAGTTGTTGTACTATGATACAAATGAAAATGTTCAAGAATGGAAACGGGCACTTGAAATTAAAGCAACTGAGCACCGTGAAAAACGCAAGCGGAAAAACCGAAAGCGATTTGCTGGAGAATCGTCGTTGTGCTCATCCTAATGTTTTGTTCCGAATTCAAGGAACATCACTTAGTCTCTGATTCATTCTTCGAATTCTTTTAGAAAGTATTTTTCTTGCTCGAAACGTAAATGATGCCGTCGAAAAAATACGACAATGAAACCTTTCTGCCATAGCTTCCAGTTGTAGGGGATGTTATGAACTCTGATTTCGTATGTGGCTGAAAAGTGAATCAATTCAACAATTCAGCAAACACATTATCACGAGTAACATCGCAACTTTTCAATGATAAATTATAGAGTGCATTACTGGAATTTCTCGTAAAACTATTGTTGTTTGCAATGTTGAATGTTCAATCAGTCTCTGATTCGTTCTTTGAATTCTCTTAGAAAGTATTTTTTCTTAGAACGGTCAAAAGGTTTCATGTGGGCAGCTTGCTATTTACAAGGAACATCGTACATTCCACTGATTTCGGCAAAAACCAAAAACATACTGACGAACTGAAAACAAGAGTTGTTCGTGGAGCAAGTATAGTGCATGGAGTTGCACTGTCCGCTCTGTTCAATATCATCCATAATTCGGAATGCACGTACCATTTGAGCAACAAACGAAGGGACACTTTCAATTCGAACGCATTCGTAGCATTCTAGGGCATCTGAATGCATAACACAACGTTTGTTTGAACTGACATAAACTTCTTCTTTGATTTTCGCATTGTATCGAAATCGAGAGAAAGGTTTCATGTGAGCAGCTAGAATTTTTGATCAGAATATTGCCGTGATTTCTTGAATTTGGAGTGAAACTTTCGTAGATTCATAATGAAATTAAGATCGGTTGTGGATTAAATAGTGTGAGGTATATTCTTGGAAATTTTTTTGGTGAGAAGGGTTATCGTACAACAGTAATGAAGAAACCTGTTTGATGTGACATCACAAGGAATATGATATACATCGAGATCAACATCATTGTAGCTGAACTGATATGCAAGTGCGTGTGGTTTGTGAGCAAATGCTGTCTGATCTAGCGTTGAAACATTTTCGTTGCTTAGCATTTTGACGAGGCATTCTTAGACGGATGAGACATTGCGATGAGACATCAAACAAGATCATTGTTCGTTCACATGTGACTGTGGAATGATAACCACATCTGTCACCGTGGTAATCATCACTACAGATAATCTTGACTACGTGTAAACTAATGCTTTTCAAGATATGCATTGTCTTGCATTGTCTACTCTCAAAACGTATATAACACTCTTGAAGTCCCCAAATCAACACAATATTCTTAAGAGTCCCCTAAAAGTACCCTCATCATATTAAATATAAAGGATCCAATGAGCTCACTATCAGAGTGCATGTGTTCGAATCTGCGTCAGCCCAAAAGCTTTATTGAATTCCAATGTCGTTGTTAGAGAATTTTGAGAAATACTGATTGTGAGAACTCGAAGAGGGCTCTATTTGGACACAATTTTTCCCATTAATTTCTTAATTGCTAGTGATAAAGTTCATATACTTGCTAATAATGAGTTCAATTAGAGCACTCGCAATGCACAGGCATTGTCCGTTTGCCATCCTTAGATTCGTACATATGAATTTTGCTTGCTTATATTTCTTGTAGATTCGTACATATGAATGCATCTTTAAGCGCTAGTTTACAGACTGCAAATGAAACTAGAATCAATCGTTGTTGCTGTGTTATATCTCGAATCTCACTCAGCAGTGTCACAACAAAAACGAATACATTTGAAAACGATTTATCAAATCCATTATAGCAACATCCCAACAAAACCAACAACAATAAGTTGAATACAACAACAACCAACAAATACTCTCGTGTTAAATGTAATGGAAACGAGTGAATAACGCTAAAATATAGCCATTAAAATCAACCGATAATGTGATAGCGTTTGAGAATGCTGATCAAGAATGACGCCAATTAATAAAAGCAAACAACATGAAGTGAAGCAGTGAAGGTAGTAAGTTTCAATAGAACCATAACAACACTCATCACAACATTAGTAATGATAATCTCCAATAATGATAGCAGTAATTTCATCGCTTACTGCATTCAGCTTAGAAGACTTTCAAGCAATAGCAACAGTGCTAAGAAAGAATTACCAATCAAACGTCAAATATCCTCTATGAATCAATTATGAATAGTTCTTACAAAATGTGGTAACATGCTACGTAAAATCACTTAAAAACAACAAAATAATCACAACAATCTCAACAACCAACAACGCTAAAAACCAAACATCCACCCCACATGAATAATCAAAATTTCATTCAATCATTTCCCTCCCCGCCGTCTCAATGCAACAATTTTGCTTCCTCTCAAATCCGTTCAATAGAAGTAAATTAATCAAGTCAACTCACTGAACGCTCAAAATTTTTTCAACGATCTCAATCCAAAACCGAAACAAACAAACCCTAATCCACCATCGATTAATCACTCACTTTTATGTGTAAATGCTAATTATGCACTTCACTTGTGCACCAACCAATGAATAATAAAACAATAAAGTAATGAAATCAAAACAACGCGTAAAGCAAACTCTAAACCGGTCAATCTTACTTCAGTTAACTCCACACCATAAGAGATTGTATTCATCAATAATCTTCAACTGCAATTTCAACAACAACAACAACCGTTTCGGCGAACAACAACAGCAAAATAACAATAACTGTAACAATACTAACAAGAATAATAAAAATGGTGATGGCAACAATAATAGTATTAATAATTATTATGATAGTAATAATATTGACAATAATGATAATAATAATAATAATA